CCCACCATCCATCCATCCACCCACCCATCCATCCATCCATCCACCCATCCACCCATCCATCCACCCATCCACCCATCCATCCACCCATCCACCCATCCATCCACCCATCCATCCACCCATCCATCCATCCACCCATCCACCCACCCATCCATCCATCCATCCATCCACCCATCCATCCACCCATCCATTCATCCATTCATTCATCTGTTCACAAGGACAGGTTGGGTGTCCTTCTGTACCAGTCTCTGCATCCCTTATACTCCTTCATTTCTGCTATTATCTGAGCTCTTTGCTTTAATTTTATTCAAGTTTTTGTTGTCACAGATAATTTGCTCCTGACATTAACTGGTTTGGAGCTTTGTGTCATCCTGGGTCTCCGTCGTGCCCATGAACTGCCCATGGGCCTTGTGGTGGCATCTCACACGTCCCAGCTGGTGGAAACGTGTCCCTGAGAGGCTACAATGCTGGGGGTGGGGTGGGAGGCCTGCCCCGCTGGACTGTTCCACCTGCACAGGTGTGCCCCAAAGAAGGGGGGCTGAGACGCCATTCCTGTTCCCTGGGGTAGGGATAGTGGGCTGGGTGGCACCGTACGCAGGGGTGAGGGTATCTGTTAGGCCCCAGCCTCCCAAGAAAGGTCTCCTTGGCCTTCTAGCTCCTCTGGTTAATCCATTGTGTTTTTTTAAGTCTTCTATATCCTTGATGATTTCTTTCTTACTTGCTCTATCAGTTCCCAAGAGAAGAATGCTAGAATCTCCAACTGTGATTGTGCATCGTCTCTTTTTCATTTTAGTTGGCCCATTTTTGCTTTATGCTCTGAGACTATGTTAGTAGGTGCATACAAATTGAGAGCTGTGTGTCTTCCTGGTGAGTTGACTGTTTATCTTTACAGACTGTCCCTGTTTGCCTAGCAGAGCTTCTGGCCTTGAAGTGTCCCCCATCTGATAGTAGCAGCCACACCAGCTTTCTCTTTTTCTCTACCAGCCACAGACAATATGCAGACGAATGGGCACAGTCAGGTGTGGCCTGCATTGAGCTGAATTTGGACCCTGGTCCAGAGGGATTACTTTTGCTCTGGTGGCAGTTAGGACAGGACTGGGCTGGCTGAGGCTGGGCTCCAGTCTCTGTGAGGACTGGCTTCATACTCCTGTCCTCCCTCCTCACTCCTAGCCCCATAGGACCCACAAGCAAAGACCCTCCTCCCTGGCAGGTACTGAACACCCAGGAGACTGCCGGACGCCCTCCTCAGCCACTCAGCGTCTCCACCAGTTGCAAACCCTGGCAGGGACCCTGTGCCAACGTCAGGCTCACTTCTTGGGTTTTCCTCTCCGGGATCTCAGAACCCATGTCCTTGATGCTTTGCTTGCTCATAATAGACAATAAATAAGCAACTCATATGGTATATTAGGGGATGCTAGTGCTATGGAGAGAATAGATTAAGGAGAATGCGGAATGCTGGGCAAGGTAGAGAGGAATGTGAAACAGGGCGGAAGGGTTGACCTCTTTGGGATGTAACATTTGAGGAAAACATAGGAGATGAGGGAGTTAGTCACACAGACAGATGTCTAGGGAAGAGCATAGCAGGCCCAGGAACATGCAAAGGCCCTGGGGCAGGGTGGTTCCTGGCTGGGGAGCAGTGGGGTGGCCAGTGTGGCTGCAGTGAGGGTGGGAGGGTCTAAAGTCAGGGAGCATGTGGGTATCCCAAGGACTTGGCTCTTCTGCACGAGAGGGGAGCCTCTGGAAAGTTCTGAGTGAAGCCACGGGTCTGACTTGTATTTTAAAAGGACGTCTCTGGCCGTTATATTGAGAACCCACTGTTGGAAGGTAGAGGCAGGGAGGCCAGTCTGGGGGCCAAGGTGGTCATCTGGGCAAGAGCTGGTGGTGGCCCAGATGGTGGGGGAATGGGGCTCTGGATGCATTTTGAGGGCGGAGCTAGTGGGATTACCTTGCAGGTGGGTGTGAAAGGGAGAGGAGCCGAGGATGGTGTGTGAGCTTGGCTCGCAGGCTGCTGCTCCTGCAATAGCCCAGCCTGGGGGCTCCTGAGAGCAGTGCCTTCACCCTGGGGTGATCCAGCCACCTTTGGCCCCTCCATCCTAGAGAGTCTGGAGTCCCGTGGCAGCTGGAGGAGGGAACCCATCACACACACGTGGATGCAGGGGGCTGAGATGGGGGCCTAGTGCTCTCCTGGCTACCCGTCCCCAGGATGGAGTGGGAAGCACATCCACACCCTCTGCATGGTGACCACAGAGCTCCCGGCCTGAGCAGCAGAGGAACGACGCAGCTAACAGATGGGAAGACTGAGGGTGGGGCTGTGGGAGGAAGACGGGAGCTCAGCCTTGGGCACGTTAAGCTTGAGACGCCTCCATCACATGAAACGGGGTGTCAGGCAGCCAGAATGGGCACAGGAGTCTGGAGTACAGGAGAGAGGTGCTTAAAGCACAAGAAGGGAGCCCACCGGGTGGGCGAGTGTGGCTGGCACAGAGGCTGGAGCAGGCGGGCGGGGTGGGGGAGGACTCCTACAGGAGGATGAGCTTGGGGAGAAGGGGAGGAGGCCTCAAAGAGAGGGAGGTGGGGGCTTCCCTGGTGGTGCAGTGGTTGAGAGTCCGCCTGCCGACGCAGGGGACACGGGTTCGTGCCCCAGTCCGGGAAGATCCCATGTGCCGCGGAGCGGCTGGGCCAGTGAGCCATGGCCGCTGAGCCTGCGCGTCCGGAGCCTGTGCTCCGCAACGGGAGAGGCCACAACAGTGAGAGGCCCATGTACCGAAAAAAAAAAAAAAAAAAAAGAGGGAGGGTTCTCAAAGACCGGGAGGAGAAGGCGAGGAGATATCGGCAGAGATCTGAGCCCTGGACACGTCTAGCCCGGAGTGCAGGGTGCAGGGTTGGTGCCAGGACCGCTCAGAGGCACCCTGGGGCTGAAGCTGTCCCTGCGCTGTGGACTCCAAGCGGCCTAAGACCCAGCCTGGTGAGCAGCCTGCGCAGAGCCCAGTGGAGGCCGGGGCTGGGTGTGTGTGGGGGGTGGGGGGGTGGGGGGGTGGGGGGGTCTGGGCCCAGAGAGCACCACGCTGGGAGGGCAGATCCAGGAGGTGCCGGGGCTGGAGGGGGGACTGCCCTCTGAGGGTGCCCCCAGTGAGGCAGGAACAAGAAGGGGCAGAGGAGGCTGGACACACCCACCACCCGGTCTTCCATTTTCCCTCCTGCACCCCCCATGCCACCCTGCCCGCCACCTGTCGCCCAGAGACCCATGACCCTGCCCCTGCCCCAGCTGACGCTGCAACACCCAACAGACACATGGGCTGCGGTTCATTTAATGCTGTTTTTCTTCCATTTTCCTGGCTCAAGCTGCGTCCGCTCCCATGGCCTCCATGGGGCACTCGCGAAACCCACGGTGCCCCTCGGGGGATGCTCAGCCGGCCGGGGCTGGACGTGGTGCTACTTCTTTGCAATGTTCTCCTTTTTGATCAATTCAGAAAATTCTAGAACAGGAGACAGATTTCTAGTAAATAACCCCCTGGCTCGTGCCCCACCAAGCCCTGCAGGCCCAGCGGGAAGCCTCCTTTATGACGGGGCAACTCGCGGTCCAGGGCGCCCTGCATCCTGCCCTCCTGAGTCCTGGGTGGGGAGCAGGAAGGACCGGAACTTGGCTGCCCGAGTGCCCCACACCGTTGTCGTGTGCCCTGTGCCCGGCCAGCTTGGCGGTGGGGAGCTCACCCACCCTGGGTCTTACGATCAACCCTCAGCAGTTCCCCTCAGAGTCTCTGAGCTGGTGCTCCTGTGGTCATCATGCCTTCAGTGGGGAAACTGAGGCACAGAGAGGCTGGGGGGCTGCATCCTAAACAGACCCCTTGGCCTGGCTGCCCCTCTTTTAAGTCTTGTGACCACCCCACAAGTCAAGGTTTGCTGGTATTTGCGGGCAGCAAGTGGAGGCCTGGGGGGTGAGGACAGGTCCCCAGTCTGTCTGGGGCTCTGAGCCTGTGCTTGCCTGTTCCCAGGGCCATCCTCCAGGCTCCGGGTCAGCATCTGGGTGGGTGGGCAGCAGGATGATGCAGACCCCAGGGCAGCCATGGGGAGACTCAGGGAAGGCCTGCCCCACAAATGCCTTTCCTCCTGGGCACCCCCCTCCCGCCCGCTCAACTCACACACAGCTGTTGGCCCACCTGACCTCCTTCCACCTGCGTCCACCTCTGCAGCTCCTCAGGCCCTGGTCTCTGCCTCAAACCTTCCTCCCCATCTCGGAAACCCCCATCTAATCTGCCCCCTTGACCTTCCCCAAAGCCGGCTTGGGCCGCCTCTCCCCTGCCCAACCCCCTCAGCATCCCGGAGACTCAGCCTCTCCATCTGTGAACGGGGACGATGGTGACCACCACAGGTGGCTGTAAGCTTTGGGGGATGGGGTCCCTGCCTGGCAGTGGGGAGCCTGGTCAGCCCTGCACAGAGACAGGCTCTAGACATGGAGCAAACTGAGTGCAAGTGACGGGCAGTGGGGGGCAGGAAGGTCCTGAGAGGTATCCCTGCCCCTCTCATCTCTGCTGCCCCACCTTCAAAGTCAATCCTCCCGTCCCCATCCGTGTCGGCTGCCTGGATCACGGCCTCAGCCTCCTCGTCCGTCAGTGGGGTGGTGGGCCCGCTGCTGGGGATGATGTGCAGGATGTACCTGGGGCCGGGGGTGGGCTTGGGTCAGGGCTGAGGGGGCATCTGGCTGGTGCCCAATGGTATACAAGGTACCTGCTCCCCTCTTTACAGCTGGGGAAACTGAGGCCCAGCTGGAGAGGGGTCTCTGGGCCTAGGCCCAGTGCTGTGCCCCTGTTTCTAGCCTGGCCCCATCTCCCACAAGGCCTGCTGGAGCCCAGTGGGGGTACCAGGTCTTCTGGGGTGAGCGTGGTAGCTGTAGGTCGGGGAGGGGGCCCAGAGCTCAGTACCCCCTCATCCCCAGCCACCACCAGGGAGGGGGCCCAGGGCTCAGGACATCCTGTCCCTGGCCATTGGCTGTTACTTGATCTCATTCCACTCGATGAAGCCGCTCTTGTCCTTGTCCAGGGTCTGGAAGGCCTTGCGGATGACACTCTCCTGCTGCCCCGAGGCCGGGAACTTCTGCATGTACTCGAAGAACTTGATGTAGTTGAAGGAGCCTGGGGATGACTGGGCGTGTCACTAGGGCCATCCGCCTTGGGGCTGGACTGCCAGGGCCTGAGCCCAGAGGGGGACTCCTGCCCTGCGGTGGGGGCTGCCGGGTCCTGTGCCCTCCCCCAGCCCGGGGGGGCTCCTGCGTCCACAGTGGGGCTGGCCCAGGGCGGGCGGGGGCGGGCTGTACCATGGTGCCTCATGTCGGTGGGCAGCAGGTCTATGTCCTTGTCTGACAGGGATGTGCCCATGGCCAAGGCCATCTTCTTCATCTGGGAGGAGAAGTCCTCGTCCATCCTGGCCCTGCAGGGGACAGGGAGCCGGCTCGGCGGGTGTGCTGGGCAGGAAAGGGTGCTCTGCCTGGACCCTGCCTGGTGCCAGCTCCTGGCCCTAGACTGGGGACCCCAGGCACCCAGACCCAGGTGGGCCTCTGGCTGCAGAGGGCGGCTGGAAGGGCCAGCTTTCTCAGCACCCTGGGGCCCTGGCCTTGCAGAGGCCTTCGTGGCCAGGCCCTGAGGAAGACAGCTGGCCACCTTGAGGTGTTACCCCACTTCACAGAAGAGACCGAGACTTTGAGATGATAAGTGATAGACACGAGGTCCTTCACTCTGCTCGGAAGAGGTGGAGGAGGCGTTGTCTGACCCCTCAATGCTGCTGGGTAATATCCCCTGTCCTTCCAGGCTCACCTCAAAGCCACCCCCTCTGGGAAGCCTTCCTGGTTACCTGAAGCACCACCTCCTCCTGCCGGGACTCAGGGCCCAGGGCCTTAGTCTCTCTCTCCCGCACCCCAGACCGGCGGGCCTTGGTCATCCTGGCTGGGCACTAGCCGCCAGCTGGGAGGCATGCTGCGCGCAGGCCAGCCTTGAGCCGGCCCTGGACTGAGCAAGGTCCAGACCCGCTCCAGCAGGATGGCCCCACCCCCTTCCCAGGCGCTCAGGAGGGCGGCCCGCTGTGCATCTGCCCTGAGGAGGTGCCCGCGGCAGTGTCCCCCCTTCTTGGGGGTTCAGGCAGGAGCCACTGAGGCAGGCCAGGATTCCAGCTGGGCAGGTGGGGTCTGGGCACAGGGACCGGGCTGTCCCGTGCCCCCACCCAGTGCCTTGTGACCTGCGGAGCTCTCGGGTTGCTGTCCCCAGGGCGGGTTGGGTTCTGGGGCTTGTGGCAGAGCAGCTATTTCAGAGGCTCGTTGGCCTTTTCTGAAGTTCACGGGGTGGTGAGCCTTCTGGAACCTACTCCCGCCGCCAGGGGAGGCAGCTCGGTGACCTGCGGGGCATAAGCCAGCCGGGCAGTGGCCGGAGGCGGCTCCTTCCTCCCAGTGGAGAAGCCACGGGTCAAAGGTTGCAACTCAAGCTGCAGCGGAGGGGCAGGGAGGGCTGGATCCTGCCCAGGGCTGTGTCCTGCTTCCTGACCCGGGCGTGCCTCCCAGCTGCACTGGACCTCAGGCTTCTCATCTGTGAAACGGAGAGACCCCTGCCCGCCCTGCCCTGCCCCTTCACAGGGTCATGCAAGGAGCCACGAGGGAAGGAGATGGTGGGGAAAGGGTGTTGGATCCTGTGGTGCGTGTCACCCATAATGGCAAGTCCCTGCAGCCAGTCTGGGAGGTGGGGTGGGGGTGGTCAGCTGGGATCAAGGGCAGGCCCAGGCCTTGGAGGCCCAGAACAGACCCCACTACCCTGCATCCCATGGTGAGACCGTGATTCCCCTCTATAACCTGGAATCATGGGGTCCATTCTGGAGGGAAGGGATTCCCTGCCTGCCACTCGGGGCCTTGCCCAGGGCCAATGTCACCCTCTTTATGGAAGAGGGACAGGGCCAAATTCCAGGCCAGGTCTGGCCAAGCCTGGGGTTGACATCCTGACTGCAGAGCGCTGTGGGCGCCCTGTGCTGGGCTGTTTACCACCCTGCTCCCACCCAGTTGCTCTCTGGGGCATCCCCCCACCCCCACCCCCCATGAAGGCAGGGGAGCCTGAGATCAGAGCTGGAGACAGCAGGAGAGGCAGGGCCTGGGCCTCAGGCCGTGGTTGGTGTATTTATAGCATCTGGTCCAGGGCCTGGGATGGAGTCTCACTTGGCCAACCTAGTCAGGGCAGGAAGCGGGGAGGGGGGTGGGGAGGGGGCTGCCTGGCACCTCCTGGGGTGCCCCCAGCGCCTGGAAGGGCCCTGCCCTCTTCGCCCTTCCCCCTGAAAAGGCCTTCCTCCCTCTCCTCCCCCCTCACTGCCTTCCATAGCCAAAGCTGGTCATAGCTTTAAGGCCTGGCTCCGCCCCCCCGCAGACCCCCACGTATGCCCAGTATTGCTGCGTTCTCTGTGCCCCTTCCAAGGCTGGCAGGGCCCTCCCCTGTCCCCAGACCACTCTGGACCGCCCATGTGGCCCTCCTGGGGGCTGTGGTCTGCGTCTAGCACCTGAGACTGAATCACCAACTTAAGATGCTCAGTGAGAAAAAGGCCTCATGGCTGGAGAGGGTGGGAAGCGGTGATGGAGGCCTTGGGGCCCCACTGGGACGGGGCTGGGCACGTGGGCCCAGAGCTGGCTCAGCATGCCTGCCAGAGTTGGTGGGTCTGGGGGCCTTGGAGCCTCTGTTCTGTCAGGCCCTTCTCCCACTCAGCACTGGGAGCCCTGTGAGGTGGTCTCAGCCTCCCCCTAGTGACCCCAGCTTGCAGCCATGCTCTCAGAGGCCTGCCTAGGCACGTGCGTGCACACGTGCCCACCCCTGCAGACTCAGTTACCTTGGGGCTGCCCCTCTCCTTCCTCTTCTTTTTCTTCCTCTCCTAGACCTCCCTGGGGGTCCCTCAGCACCCAGGGCCTCCCCTTGTCCAGCGAAAGACGAGGCCCAAGCCCCTGCCATGCAGCTTGGGCAGCTCTGGCCCGGCTGGGTGCCCACACCACCGCTCCCCGGGCAGGGCTCACCTTCGCCTGGCTTTCTTCGAGGGCTCTGGGAAGGCGGGTCAGGCTGGGGCTGCTGAGAGGCTGTGGGGGCTCCAGCCTTTATACCTGCAGCCGCTCGGCCTGTTTACATCTTGGGGCTGCAGCTGTCCTACCGCCTCTCCTGGGTACTCCAGCCTGGCACTGGCCGCCCCCAGGGGCTCGTTGGCACTTGGCACGTCCACACCAGGCTGGGCAGACTGACCATTAGCAGCGCCTGGCCTCCCCGAGCCTGGGGTGGGGGTAGGGAGAGTGATGACATTGCCGAGTGAGTAGACTTGCTATCTGTCGCAAGAGGTCCCACCCTGCCTGCTGGCCTCGTGGGGGTGAGAGGGGGCGGCGGTCCAGGAGATGGCCCAGGGGGTACAGGCTGCCAGCGTGTCCGAGATGGCAGCAGAAGACTGGACGACTGGGCCTCCTCTGACGAGAAGTCAGGCTGGGCAGCTGTCCTTTGTCCCTGGGTCACTGTGGTGGGCTGGGAGCCATGCCAGGGCTGGCTGTCAAGGCGAGGGGAGGAGAGGGAGGTCTCCGTCAGGCAGGATGACTCCTGCAGGCACAGGGAGCAGGGCTGTGTGACCCTGGGCGGGGCTGGTCTCTCTCCCTGGGAAGGGCCCTCACAGGGCAGTCACCAGGGTGAGGACGGGGGACCAGAGAGGGACACATCGCCAAGAGCCCCCCCGGCCATGGCCCACCGGGAGGGGAACGGCTCACTGTCCATTCACTTTCTCGGCCTCAGTATTTTACAGAGTGGTGCCCCTGCCGGTGCAGACGTCTGTGCAGCCTCTTTCCAGCCCTCCATCACCAGCTGTCCCCTGCGGGGGTTTCTGCCCCCGTCGTTTTACGTGGCGCTCCTATAGCTCTGAGATCTGCTTTCTCTGCTCAAAAGTTTATCATGTGTCGCCACACTCTGCCATGACGTAAGACAGCTGTGTGTTAGGCCAGCAGGCTGAGGATGTTCTAGTAAGTTCCTTGACTGACCACCTGCTGCTGGACCCGGAGCAGGTCCCAGTGCTTTCCTTTCTTTCTTTCTTTTTGGCCATGCCACGCGGTATGTGAAATCTTAGTTCCCCGACCAGGGATCAAACCCGCGCCCCCTGCAGTGGGAGTGCAGGGTCTTAACCACTGGACCACCAGGGAAGTCCCAGGTCCCAGTGCTTTTGTCATCAGAGACACTGTGGGAGACCAGAGTGGGAGGACCAGGATGAATGATGGAAGTTTCCATGGTCCTGCCACGTTCCTCTTCAAAAGGGTTACCCTACAGATTTCCAGCCGAGGCTGGGTGCCCCGCGCCCCCTGCACACCCACACCTGCACTGCACTCTGGTCCCCAGCAGGCAGCAGGGACATCTCTCAACACGTCTGTCCATAGAGTTGAATGTTATCCGCATGAAAGGAGCAAGGCACCGACGCTCTCCAACACGAATGAGCCCTGACAGCCCCACAATGAGTGAAAAAAGGCAGTCACAAAAGGCCACATATTCTGTGATGCCGTTGGTATCAAATGTCCAGGAGAAGCAAATCCATAGAGACAGAAAGCAGATTGGTGTTTGCCGTGGGGCTGGGGGAATGGGGAGTTACTGTTTAACGGGTACAGGGTTTATTTTGAAGTCATGAGAATGTTCTGGAACTAGATAGAGCTGACGGCTGCACAATATCGTGAATGCACTAAACGCTACGGAGTTGTACACATTAAAATGGCTTATGTTATCTGAGCACCCCCTCCGCCGGCACCTTCCAGAAGGCCCTATCCGTGCCCACCCCTGCCCAGGCCATGAAGCGAGGGCTGGGGAGCGGGTGGGCGGGCTCCTGGACCAGCACCTGCCCGGAGCTGACAGATGGCCAGTCCCCTGGGCAGTCCCTCCCGTTTCATTTCGGTTCAGAGTTGGGCCGCCCCTCCTCTCCTGAAGCCCTGGCCCTAGCTTACCAGCCCCCCTCTGGGCTGAGCTGGCCTGGAGGGGGCCACGGGGACCAGCTCACAGCTCTGGGGATACCGTTTTCCCCTGTGCCCAGGCACGGCAGGCTCTGTCCCCCTGGGACACTCTGGTCTCTCGGGACCTCAAGGGGCTGGCACTGCCCCCCGCCCCGGCCTGCCTGGAAAAACTTCGCGGGAGGGGGGCTGGTGGGCTCTCGGCCCTCCTGCTGCAGACTGGAAACCCCTGCAGAGACCCGCAGCCCAGCCCTGCCCCATGACGTGAGTACTAGACACCTAAGAGGAATTAGCTCTTCTTTTCCAGGGAGCCGTTTTTATATGAGGACAAAGCTCTTTCAAGCCACAGCCTCCTCAGAGCGTGGCGTCTCCCCCAGGCTGGCTCAGAACACCAGGCAGCATCTTCCCGTTCCTGGGGAGGCCGGGCACCCTTGGCAGGTGCACCTGCTC